CCCCAAAACCCCAAAACCCCAAAACCCCAAAACCCCTAAAAAGGATTATCTAATTATTTTTAACATCACAAAAGCCACAACTCATATGAATACCACTAAGAAAAGCATCACAAATAAAGCGATTGCTTTAAGTTCATTATTTCTTCTCTGCTCAGGCGATATCCTATGCCTATAAAATAATGAAAATCCGTCAAAAATAAAAATTTGAAAAATCTTACAGTTGGATAAGCCCGATGCTTTCTTCCGGCTCTTCTTCGTCCTCCCATATATTTCAGCATCGTCTTCTCCTCCTTCTATTTTCAATTTTCTCTGTAATCTCGTCATATCTATCGAAGAAGTAGCCAAGTGAGACTTCTCTCTCCTTTTCTGGGTCAGGTCTTACCAGGTTGGTTACTCTGATACTGTCCAATAGGTCTTGACGGTTCTGCTTAGCAGCTTCAATCAGAATAGTATCCCCTCTGTTATTCTTATGAGAAAGGACATTTAGAATAACTTTTCTTATCAAAGCCAGCTCAGAATTTGTAAATTCAGGAATATCAGTGTTTTCTCTATGGAGCTATTGATTAAACTTACTGTGGTTTCTCTTCTGAAGAAGATTTTTGCTCATCGGGAGAGGACTTATGCTCATCTTGTAACTCAGGCTCGGACTCTTCAGCACTATCATCGGTTGAAGCATAGTCTCCATCGACGTTCATATACTCTTTGAATTTATCTGAAAATTCTTGGGAAGGCTCTGCAGATTCAATGTCTTCTGATCCAGCAAAATCTCTGCTGAGACCTTCTTTTTCGTAATCTATAGGGCCGAGAGCCTTATTTCATGTTTTGAGACTTTTTAGTAAGATACCTAGAAATGAATAAAACACTCTTGAGGCTCCATATCTCACAATTATGTGAAGGAGAGAGTCCCCTTTAGAGTTAGGAGTGTATAGATTATTCTTAGTGAATCATGAATTTCAGATCTTCACATATTCCTTCTTTCCATTCTCATCAGCAGGAAATGTAGTATGCAAACAAGTTTTTCTATTCTGCTGCTCTAATGACATTATATACTCAAAAAGTGATAGATTGTTGAACCGAGCAGCTATATGAATGATCTTCATGCCATATCCATCCTGTACAGATGTATTCAAGACTCTCTGAAGCTGACTAGAGGGAATGGAAGAAACGAGAGCTTCGAGAATATTTTTACTCCCGATCCTGGTGGCCCAATGAAAGGCATTTCTTCCGTCATTGCTCATTAGGAAAGGATCTGCCCCTAATTTGATCATAAGCTTGATGATTTCGATTGAAGATATTCATCTACCAGATATAACAGAAATGATTGGAGTGAATCCATGAAAATCTTGTGCGTTAATATCTAGATTGTCATATCTTATTTCTCATTGCGGATTTTCTTCTCCCTCTCCTTCTGGTTGCCTATAAAATTACCATGAATCCTTACTGTTGTAATAGACATTGCTCCAAAATGTCAATGATCTCTTCCTCCTTCGAGTCATCCACCAACATATGCAGCACACTCTTTCTCGTATACCCATGCCTCATTCCCAAATCAATCACTTCAGGTTCCATTTTCCCTTGTAGGTTTCAATTATATTTATAAACGATGGGGTTTTGGGGTTTTGGGGTTTTGGGGTTTTGGGG